GAAATAAAGGGTTGTTCTTATCAAGGTTTTAAATTACTAAATTGATTGGATAAATATTATCTTGTATACCTCCGACTCTAATGGCTAGTGGTATTTTTAGTGAAGTATCCTACATTTATATTAATCTTCATATTTTTTCAAGTAGCGATTTTAAGAATTTTGATTCTAGACAGATATCATTGTGATAAGATAACATTCTTCAAAATTAGGTAATAGATTTAACTTATTTAATTTTGTTTATTTATAAATATGGTCGTACTTTTTTACACGTTTTGCATTTTTGATGTAATATTAGATGTTGATGTATGTATTGAGCTATATAAAGTGCTTCAGGTTCGTATGAAATTCGTTGATGCCGAAGCCGGTAATGAAATGGGTGTTCAAAAAATTATTATCTCGAGTTTATACGTAATTCAGGAGGCACTTTAAGACGTTGGTTTTAACTAAGATTTGAATGGGGATGATGCCTGGGTAAACAAAAAATCTAATTAAAATATTTTAGATACTTATTTGTTTTTTTACATAAATTTAACAAGAAATAGCTATAAAGTTGAGGAGTAGGGGTTCGCTACGTTAAAACTTTGTAGAAATATACAAAGGTGTGACGTTATTACTACATTTCAACTTAATGTATAACCTTTATTCATTGATTACGCAAAAAATAAAACTAATCACCAATCCTATTATACGAATCAATCGATCAATTTATTAGGTACAAAGGTGTGACGTTATTACTACATTTCAACTTAATGTATAACCTTTATTCATTGATTACGCAAAAAATAAAACTAATCATCAATCCTATTATACGAATCAATCGATCAATTTATGCTCAGTTTAAATGTTAGTTCCGAACATGAAAGCAATTACAATCGGTAAGTTAGAACATTTTTATAATTATATTTATTAAATTGTTAATATATTTCATGTGACAACAAAACTGTTAAGTTTTGTTCAATTGAGGCTTCGATCAAAGTTGAGGTGAAGAATGGTGAGGTGAAAAAAATAGAAAAAAAATTGCACCATTGTCGCTACCCCATTGGGATATAAAGACCCGATATAATGAAAAAAGAAGCTAACGGATGCTCGAAAAGCTATTACGTAAAGTTCCGTATAATGGACTTCTCGACTTCCATTAAAGAATACTAGTAAAGATAAAATACTACTTCGGCGAGTATACAGTGTTTATTATCGTATCACTCGATCTGTGATCTCATTTATAAGTTTTGTTTTGTATACAAAAGTAACAATATATGATTACTGTAGGATAGCACTTTATTTTATAGCAATTGATTGAATGTCATAACGTGCTTTAAAAGATGAAAATTGGAAAATTAAACTGGCTTGTGAAGTAGGCTGCGATTAAACTAATAGGCTGAATTTGTATTTTATTGATAAGTTAAACGCTGTATTAATCGAAGCCTATAATATATAAGATATATCTGCTGTTAATGGAATATCATTACATCATATGCGTCTAATTGAATACGTAATGTTATAATATATGAATTGAAACGTTATTATGATTACAAATAGACTGTTTGATAAGATGTATATTTTAGAAAAGTTAGAGAATTCAAAGTAACACCAAGTTATATTGGAATTCAGGCTTCAATCTCAATTTTCAGCGGTATAAAATAAGTCAGTTTTGAAGCTCAGATCATAATAATCAAAAAAATTAGAACAGCTTTGCTATTCTGTAAAAAATAGTTGACCGATTTTCAAAATTATTTATTTAGTTGCATTTTACAGTTCTTCAATTTGTGGTTTAGTCTACTTTTTTTAAATAAACAATAACTTTTTCACTTATATTAAACTATTAAAACGTACCTTTAATAATAGGGGTTAAAGTATAAAACTGCCGATTTATACTGAAATTTAATATTGTTTAATTTATAACTAATTTATTTAATCAATATAATTAACATTATTATCTATACATTACCGCCATCTTATAGGAAAGTCAGCATTTGTAATATTATATTATGCCTTTGCGATAGAACTTTATTGCACAAACAGTGTGAAAGCATTTTGTATTGCCTCCTGGGAAGAAAACTTCTTGTCACGTATATATTTATCCAACTCACAAAAAAAATGGTAGTCCGTTGGAGCAAGGTCTGGCGAATACAGAGGATGACGAATGGTTTCTAACTGCAGTTCCGGGTCAAAACGGTTTCTCGTGCTGTATGAGGTCTCGCGTTGTCATGGAGTAATAATGGTGAAGATCTATTCATGAGTCGGGGCTGTTTTACATTGTTCGAAGTTCGGCACAATAGACATCTGACGTTATTCTTGACCAGATCGGAGAAAACTATAGTCCCTCAAAGGCCGGCAGATTGCTTGTAGCCCCTCTGGTGTTGCAGGTGTCCATGGGCGACGGTAATCACTTACCATCAGGTGATCCGTCTGCTCGTCTGCCGCCTATCCCATAAAAAAAGTGAATAACACCATGCTGAGATCACCAAGCAGTTACCATTACCTTTTAATTGGTAAGTTTTGCTTTAGGACACTGTTATGGCATTTGACCTGGGGTTAGCCACAACAGTGTCCTATTTTTCATTAACGGTTATCATAAAGAATCCACTTTTCATGACATGTCACAATTCGATCCAATATTCCTTAATTTTTGTACCGATTCAACAAGACAAAACAAGTTTCAACACGCGTTTCTTTCTGCAGATCAGTCAAATTATGAGGCAACCCTTTTTCATATTTTTTTTATTTTATTGATTTGACGTAAACGAATCAATATTGTGGGTAAGGTAACGTTAAACCATGACGCTAATTCTTGGGTAGTTTGAATAGAATCGGCTTCCACCATCTCTCTTAATTCATCGTTATTCACCTGTGTGGGCTGTCTTCCTCGTAGCTCGTTTGCGTTTATTATCAGACCCCTCTTCAAACGCAACACTGATATTGCGGACTGTTTCTGCTGCGTTACTTCCGCGTCGGAACTCGTATTCAAAAATCACTCGAAATTTCGCAATATCCATTTTTCTTGTCTAAGTTGAATAACAAAGCAATTGAAAGTCGATATTCAAAATGATTCACATTATTTAAAAGAAGAACATCATAGAAACCATGTGAAAAAAGTTTCTTTCGAAAACTTCAAACCATGAAGATTCTATGTAAATTCAAGAAAACTATTACAATAAAACGGCAGTTTCATACTTTAACCCCTAATACGTTTACGATTTTTCGTACGAGTTCAAGTTTGGGTGGGACTTTCGGTAGGCCGAATTTCGATAGGCACAACCAAGCATGCTTTTTGGCTTTTTGCCTTATGGGATGGCGCCGAGCTAAAAAACCCAATCCTTATTGTGAAATAAGGATAAGTCTGAACAGGGGTTTCACTACGGGCTCTGATATGTCACTCTGATAATTCTTGGTTTTCACCTTTACACTTTATTGGCAGAAATGGAGCGGAGTGACACCTTTATAAGAAACTCCCCACCATACCATCACACTAGCCGGATGATGAGTGCGCGAGACATTCCGTGCAGACGCTGGGACATTCTTGCTACTTTTAGCGTAGACTTTATTGTTTTAACGGTTAAACTTTTCTTCTACAGTAAAAATTTACAGCAATAATCGAAACGCAACCATCATAGAAACGCTTTTGATGATCGATCGTTGTAAATTAGTGCAAATGCCCCCAAGCCTTAGTATAATACGGCACCATGCGGAAGAAGCTGCCAATGGTAAGTTAGTTGGCATTATAAAATTATAAGCAGTTAATAAACTGTACACATGATTTATTGGTAACACAAATAACAAACCTAAATTATGTAACATATTATATAGTTATGGATATATTAAAAATATTGACTATTAATTACCTACGTAAAATTAAATTCTAATTTATTACTTATTACAGTATATAGGTACCTACTAATTTAATCATTGTGATGTAGATATCTTAATTTGTATAGTGTGTATTAATTTGCTCTATTTTAAACTAGCTACTGCACGCGACTTCATCCGCGTGGTAGGTAGGTATAGTTATTTTGGGCAGCATTTCTAAGAAGGACATTTATTTATCTCTGTCTCCTATTTATTGAGTAACGACTCTAAATGAAGTCAGGACCAACGGTATAATATGCCTTCCGAATCACGGAGTAGTTCGAGATTTTAATTTTTGGTCACCCATCCCGTAATTGACCCTTGCGAAAGTTGCTTATTAATAACATTCGTGGGCCGTGGCACTTATCCACTACGCCACCGAGCTACTCATCAGTATTGCAAAGCGCAAAGTTCTTACTAAGTTATATTTGAAACCTAAACCTTGACCTTGTGATATAAAAGTATATGTACTTAATACCATCTAGTATAGTACAATATATAGTTTGTATTTTCTTTCATATTTAAAACGATTTATACTTAGATATTTTCAAAAATATTTATTTAAATGTTATTTTTGTTATCAATTATGTACTCAACTACCAATTTTTATTACTTTCCTAGAGTCTTTCTTTAACTACCCAAATACCAACTTTCATAGATTTAGGTTAAAAAAAAACGAAATTTCATACATACGTCTTAATGTCTTAATCCTTTTTGACCCCCTTCGGGTAGAATTTCCAAAAATCCGTTCTTAGTACATCTCAATGTAATAAGACGACACCCCAAATTTCAAGTCCTTACGACCAGTGGTTTAGGCTGTACGTTGTCTGTCAGTCAGTATGTCAAGATTTTTATATATGATACACATGATTACTACATATCTACGCTTTAAGCTGTAATGAAGTAAGAGATTGATTCCTTGAGTTTACTAAAAAATAATTGATACAAACCTTGTTAAATCTGTATTATTATTTATTTTTCCGCGCCATTTAAGATGAAGCTTCATGCAGGGTAAAAAAATTTTCATGATCGGATCAGTATTTCAGAAGATTTCACCCTAGAAACAAACACAGTAAGAAACTTTACTTCAATATTTATCTTATCTGTTTTAGTATTTATAGGATAGAAGGCCCGGTTTTGGACACTGCCCCTTTTTTAGGCATTTGGAACTTCTAAACGTTCTAAATAAGGCTTAGGCAAATATCTTACTTTAAAGTGAATGGTTTTTAAAATTTTGCATTAAAGCAAAACTGCGTTAACAGGTAACACTGATAATGGCCAAAACTGGATCATAATTTTAAAATGACATCGTGTACAATATGTAGGTACATCATATGTAAAAATTTAAAATACCTATCTATAATGGCTCATCAGGTAGACAGAGAGACAAACGTCCATCGGATCTAAGTAACAGAGTCCCGTTTTTATCGTTTGGGTAAGGAAACTACTACCGACAGGAAAAATAATGAAAATGTTAAGATTCTATTTAAGACGAAACGTCACGGAGCTCTTTCTGGTTTTGTACGCAGTAATTCCATATTCCTTAAACATCAAAACACCATATTTACTCATTGCCTAAAAATTCAGAAAATATTGATTCTCATTCTTCTTTCTTCTCTGTACTCGGCGAAGTTGCTGGAACCGAAGAATTTGATATTGATGTTTGTACACTCGTCATAGAAATGTTTGTAGAGCGTGCCTGCGATGACAACGTCGTACCATTACTTGTTTGGTTTGATATTATTAGCCCTGCAATATTAGTTCACGTTAAATCAAAGAATTTAGTGTGAAATAGTTAAGAATTTATATTATTTTTGATATACTAGGTTTAAAATAAAAAATCGGTCATGTGATGGTTTTTCTTATGGAAGCACATTTGTGCTTCCATAAGAAAAACCATCACACCATCACATCAAACCAAACCATCACCATATAAATATATTGTCCAATAGATTGATTAACGATCTATTTAGGATTATTACATTTAAACAAATGTGTCCGTACCAAGTTTTAGTCTGATGTAATTGTAAATCCTTTTTGGTTTAAAAACCAGAATGATGAAAATCCATAATCCCTGGAGGTGGTTCCATATATTCATTATTGTCATTATAAACGATGTACTATCATAGGGCTGCGCCGTAAGGACGGAAATGAACTCTATGAACCAGCCACCACCCATCACCACCCAGAGCTTTCCAGTCAACAGCAAACTGTAATCAGAAATAAAAATTCAGGCCTAACAATACAATAACTTCGTTTATTGTAGATTATAAAAGTTTAACAAAAAATTAAGTCATAAGTCTGAATATATACTTGAATAATAAGAATGTATAATAATATCTCAGAAACTACAAGTGCTTGGAGTTTCAAATTTTGCATGCGGGTTATTTTAGGACGTAGCTGCTCACTAAGATGGGATTTTACAAAATCCCTAAAGAGGTAAATTGGAGGATTAAATTTTTTATGGAATTAAATAATTTTTGGACTTAATACTAGATCAAGCGGATATAGCTGCTGGCGGAATGCTAGTACATTATAAAATATTTTGAAATATAAAAATGGAGTGGGGTGATAAAAAAAACCGCATAAAGTAGGTGTGGAACCAAATACAAACAGGTATGGATTAAAATCAAATGTTGATGTATCGGTCTATTGATAGGCACAATGTAACCTCTACTGTTTATCACAGAAAAAGATTGGTCGTCCACGTAGTGTTCGCACGAAAAAGGAGATCAAAGTAGTAAAGGAAAGAATTCGAAGGAATCCTGTCTGAAATCAAAAATCTTTTGCTTTCGGGTTTCTCGAGAGATGAAGATAGCACCAAGAACGATGTCGCGTAATGTTAAAAGATTACTTAGGACTTGCAGCCTATAAAAGAGGCTCCGGTCACTAAAGAGATAATTTAAAATCAAAACAACTACCTAAGCTCACAATACCTTCATAATGCAATGGCGTAAAGGTAAAGGATGCAAATTTTATAAGTTTGTATAATATAGTTACAAATTATAATTTAAATTAAAATTTGAAAACGTGGTGTGTTACTTACTTTTCCTTATAGTTCTCATAACGATGTATGATGCTATCTTTTTCGGAACCAGCATGCAGTCGCTGTGCTACTGATTTGACTCGGACACAGTGCACTACTGTCAACAACCACAGCACCAAGTTCACACCAGTTATCAAACCCATTGGAATAACGAATAAAACGTAATGGGGCCAATCAGCCTTGCTGTTTAATCCTAAAAACAATATTTGCACATAATTATCAATATTCTTAATGAAAAATACTTAAGAAATCCACTTTATCCCTGGTACTATGAGATGGGATTCGAACTTTTTTCGCAAACCAAACGACCAGTGACAAAGTGACTTTTTAAGCATTTTTCATTAAGTAAATATTTTTCAGTATAGCATTGTGAATGCAATATTGATCAAATATCACAATCTTCAAGTAAAAATGTAAGCCTGCAATATTTTAATTGTTTCTCAAGGCAAAATTTTTCGCCAATTAGTGGCTGAGCTATCAACTGATTGCCCGGCCATAGTACAAATGTTTTGGTCGTCCGATAACTTTTTTTTAATCATTAATTAAGTCTAGGATGTTACAAGCACTTGTGAAAGGCGAAACTCCAAACTCTCGGTTTGTAAACTTAGGCAGGAGATATTATACCTAGAAGAATCGGCAAGAAACTCGGCCGTCTATAAACCCCTTTACGGAGGGTAATACTGGAAGGTATTAAAACAGGCCGCTAAGAAAAGTATGCGGTGAAAATTATTGAGAACGGTTTGGGAACTAATAGATGTAAAAGTAAAGTCTTTTTTTTATAAAAAAGTGTTTTTTTCTGTCGTGCCAGAAATTATTGTGAAAATTGTTCAATGATTTATTAGAATGTTTGTTGCTGCCTTACTCAACAATAACCACAATTGAATAAGAAATGCTCATGAAATTTTAAATACAAATAATTAATCTTATATTAGTTTATTACTTGCACCAAACCAGCAGCGTCCTTTGCCCATTTCCGCATCGAGAATCGGCGACAATGGATAAATATCCAGTAGAAATGTGGTCAAAGTGAAACAGACAGACATTCCCCACGCATACAAAGAGTACTTAATAAACTTAATCCATGAGCTCCTGTTCATACTGCGCTGTACTGACTGCATATGACTGCAATTACAATTACGAAGTTAGTGACAATTACGGGTTCACAAACAAAATTAAACAAAATAGCTTCATTCAATATTTTTTGTAACCGTAAATCATCTTAATAGATGATTTACGGTTACAAAAATATCTGAGATAAAGACGATCCGACATCGGTACTTATAATACTGTATACGAAGGTTAATGACCGGTATACTACAGTTCCTCTACGTAATATTATTATTCGAACATAAAATTTTAAAATCATTATTTATCTTTGTGAACTTGTTCTATTATTATTATATTATTTGTTCTATTGTTTATATTATTTATTATATTATTACTTATAAATTCCGTATCATCAAGGCGTTTTGAAACGGTAACTGACATCTGTTAATAGTACCCACATTTTTTCTGCTACTCGTCCACCAAAGCTGTCAGTTGTCGTTCATAGTTAAAGATATGCTTCAAACTTCCTAAAAATTGGTAAAGTTTGAAAATTCCTGAGTCTCTCCTATTTGTATCAACTTATGTCAGTACAAGATTTTTTTATGTTCTTTGGGTACATTAATAAAATTCACAATTAACAAAATACATTTTCAAATACATTACAAACCACTAAGTTTTATTATTCATGCCAAAATTCGCTATTAAAGCTGTGATTTTATTCGCACATATACTTGTATCTACTACGATAGATTTGAATAGCTTAGCAAAAAAATAGGCAAACTCACCTCATCTTCCACCATATGTCGAAGCACAAAACATTGACCCACATGAAGGCTGACATGAACCCAAAATAAATGCAATATCCTGTACAAAATCACGAAGAAAATCTCGTATAAAAATTAAAATTAGTTAAATATAATCTTTAAAAATTGCTAATGCTCCTGGCCGCTATTTTAATTGAGTCTCAGACAATTGTCAAAAGTTTGTTCTTATTTTATTGTATTTGTATTCAAGTAACTGTATTTATATTGAAGTATACTTCTATAATTGATTAGAGAGAGCCGTTAAGTCAAAACTCCTTCATAATAGATATCAATTGTTATTTCTTACCCATCGCCGTACAAACATTGATGTCTGGTATGAATCCGTATTGCGCACGAGCAAGACCCAAATAACCCAGCAGCAAAGAGCTAATATAGCTGATCAAATTGAAGCCATGTAGGTTCCGAAACTCTGATATAGAGCAGTGCACCACTAATGTTATTATTAAAAACATCACCGATATCGATAATAGCTGAAAGACAAAGTTAAATAACAATAACTATTCGAATATAAATTAAAGACCTGTGAGTCGTTTACTGCGCTCGCGAGTTTAATCCGCAGCAACAGCAAAAAATGCGTTTTTGAGTTTTTCATATCGTCTGAAAGCCCAAACCCTAACACCTAATTTTTTTTACGACTTACGACTACGACTACGATGTTTCTTACATTACGTTTTTTCGTTAATTTTAAAAGAAAGCGGCCACATTAATACATCTTAGTTAATTAACATACCTAATACCAAAACTGTGGAATATGCAGTTATTATACCAAAAACGATTTAACAAAAAACCAAGGTGCAGTATTAGGGCTTAAAAATTATAATGGCTATAATTAATTTATTTATCATGTTTCCAACCTGAAATTAATGAATTATTTTAGTATTCTAACTTTTTTACACTTAGCGCTCAATTTTAAATAGTGATTTATTAAATTTACATAACATTCAAACGTCACGCGCGTTTTTCTCGGTTTCTTGTTTTTGATATAAGTGCAGTTTAGGCTCTGGACGGCAGTATAAGTAGTAGCTTGATGTCACAGTGGATAAGCGCCGCGGATCGCGATCGTTGTTCTTAAGCAACTTTCGTAAGTGTCGGTTACGGAATAGCTGACCAAAAAATTATTATCTCGAGCTACTCTGTGCTTCGGAATGCGCGTTAAGCCGAGGTCCCGACTCCATTTGCAGTCGTTAATATCCTCCAATCCGCATGTCGTTAATACCATCCTCCTCCCTAACCATCCAAGAGGGAGGCTTGAGCCCCTGCAGTGGGGACGTAAAAGGGCTGATAATGTGTCGTTTAAGCATTTACTTTTTTTGTAATAGCCTTCATTAAAATTAGTAGCTCGATGGAAAAGAAGTTAACGAGTTCGGTCTACAATACGGTAGTTAGAAAGCAACTTTCGCAAGCGCTGTTCAAACGATGGATGACCAGAAAATCATCTCCTCTATGCTTTGAAAAGGACGTTAATCTGTTGGTTCCGAGTATACCTGCAGTCGTTAATATGCACCAATTCGTTCTGGTATATTCTCCGTATTCGATTCAATCCGGGTTAAGAGTGTGAACGTTGACTGGAATATATGTCTTAGACATAGGATTGTTCATCAGACGGCACCCCCAATACCTTATTAGAATTACCAATAGAAGAAATATATGATTAAATCCTAGTGATAGAACCTGTTTGCATAAAATTTCGGTGCGTGGTGTTATTTTGAAAAGGAATTCTCACTACATGACTATTAAGGTGTATAAGAGTATACCATCAGATATAAAGAAACTTCCTACAAATCGGTTTACACCGTTATTACGGTACTGGCTAATTAATACTTTTGAAATAACTTTGCCAATGGGATGATTTTAATCAGATTTACATTTGGATATTATTTTAAACGAATTGCAATATTCTTAATTCTGTCATATATAAAGTGATAATGATTTTTATTTTTATTTGAATAACTAGTATTTTTAAAGCAGAGTCTCAGCTATACAACCTTATTTCACAGCGAAATATTCCTTGCTTTTAAACGGATATTTTTTACACCATCACTTAAGAAAACTACAAGCAAATTTGATAAGTCATATGATCAATACCAAAATACACATATAATATATAATATAAAGTTTGTAAATATTAAATTTAATAACAACTATTTTAAAATTTCCAACTAACTTACTCGATTAAATTTGAATTTGTATTCGTTATTATTTAACTAAGCTTTTGTATTCAGTTATTTTACATTATCTGCTTGAGTACTTACCGTAAATATTAATTTTGAATGATTAGCAGGTACAATAAGAATGCATGTAGAAGCTGCTACTTCAATTTTTCCATTACACTCAAATGTATCTAAGCAATATTCACTAGTCAGTCCATGATATAATTGAAGCGACCCGTTCATATCGAGGGAATGCCGATCCGTTATCAATGAGGAGTTTAAGATTATTTTCCTAGCCCGGTTATCGTGACATTTGAAGCCTGTCTGGATACCCATCACATCTATAAATAGATATTGTAAAATTCTATGTTAATAAATTTTTTAACATAGTAACTTTTGCGATCATAACACTCTTAAAAAAACATTGTTATGAACGACTATTTGCGTATTTAATTTATAGATTGTATTAATACTTAGCCATGTAACCACATGGCTTTTATCAGACACGTTCACGGAGCAAAGGAGACGAAACGTTAAATATTAATTACATACAATAACATATTTCCTGATAGAGTAGAGTTCAAAATGAAATAGATTTTATAATCATAGACAAAACATAGACCTTCACAAACACAAGTATAATGAGAAGTCTAAAATTTAACACTAACCATTTCATAACGCGTTACGTTATCAATTTCGAGCAAAAACAAGCAAAAAGTCACGTTTGTTTTATAGGGGTCACTTAATATTTATTGAACATTTATTTTTTTCTGGATTTGATTATTTGTTCTTGAAGCAGCAACAGAAATACATCATCTGTGAATTTTAAATTCCATCTGTCTTCCTTTCAGAGTTATTGATTAGCACCGCGGCCCGTGATCGTAGTCGTAAAGCAACTTTCACAAGGGTCGGTCACGGGATGGGTGACCAAAAAAATATTATCTCGAGCTACTCCGTGCTTCGGAAGGCACGTTAAGCCGTTGGTCCTGGCTGCATTTGCAGTCGTTAATACCCTCCAATCCGCATTGGGCCAGCGTGGAGGGTCATGGCCCATCCTCCTTAACCATCCATAAGGAAGGCCTGAGCCCCTGCAGTGGGGACGAAAAAGGGCTGATGATGAGATACAGCCTGGTGACAGACAGACAGCAATGTCTTAGTAATAGGGTTCCTGTTTTACCCTTAATAACTAGCATAACAAAAACTTGGCATCCATGACTAAAAATAATTAATGTGATTTTTGTCACTAAATACTAATTTAGTAAAGTAGCTCGATGGCGTAGTGGACAAGCGTCGCGCTCCGTGATCATTATTAGTAAGCAACTCTCACATGGGTGGTTTGGGTGGTTGACCAAAAAAATATTTTCTCGAGCTACTCTTTGTGTGCAGTTATTAATACCCTCCTATTCACATTTGGCCAGCGTGGAGGGTTACGGCCCATTCTTCTCAACTATCCATACGGACTACATAAATAAATGAAAGTGTAAAAATAATGTAATTTTTATGTTTTGTCATACCTATATATAAGTATTTATTTATTATGAATGAATGAAAAGCCCTTTGAGATAACACAATTTTAGCATTTTTTTCTTGAACTTATACTATGAAAGAATATTGTTGCAATAGTTTATAATTGTAGGTCAGGAGAAGTACCATATTAATTTTTATCCCGAAAATTAAGAGCCTATAAGTGTCGAAATAAGCATTTTTGCACTATTAATTCCCGTACCTTTTTTCATATTAATGACTAAGTTCCAATTTTAATGTCGACTCGATATCTCTACGCATTCTCAAAATAAAGGGTTTTGACAGTCACACAGACGGACAACAAATTTTTCCTATAAGTGAATACGTTTTTCCTTTTGAGGAGCCCTAAAATTTTGAGATCCTTACTCAATATTTGAAAATAAAAAAAGAATAAGATGTCTTCGTAATTTAGATTTCATCATAAAAATAAAAAAGGTATAATAATCACCTCCAATATCACCTCTCTCGCTTTTTAAAGGTTCTATGTACGATGATAGATTAAATAAAAATCTATCATCATAATTCCGTTTACAAGCCCTTCTTACTTTACCACATCCTGATACGTGGTTTCCCATGTGACAACACTTTTTCAAACAATAAGCACCAAAATCACTGCAGCTCATGGTACAGACCCTTGCAACAAGTTGCCGGCTCATATAATCCTGGTCTACACACCAAGTCTTCCACGTCATGTTATGCTCATCGCCTACAGTTTCTTTAATAATTCCAAGGACACTACCAATTAAACTAAATCTAAAAACACCTTCTTTTATTTCTACAGAATACTCCTCGTCCCCACAATCTAGCTCATTTTCAATTACGAAAATGTCAGATGTATTTTGTTTTAATTCACTAATCAGCCACTCTTCTTTGAACTCTTGATCTTTTCTACAGAAATGATATTCACTATCATAAACTTGCCCCCTCGCACAACATTTGTTGATATTTTGTATTTTTAATTCAGTTTGAGACGTGAGTTCCAATCCATCACATTTCAAAATTGTAATACTTGGTGAATTTATATGTGTAACCGTACCATTATTGATTTCTGTTATAAGTCTATCATAACAAACACCACTACCCGTAAATAAACTGAAGTTTCCTTTTTCCAATTCGCCAGCAATCAAGTTGCATTCTATAGGTATACCATCATCTACAATTACAGATCTGTTCACCTCAAGATCTGAGTACTGGCTAACTTCTTTGTACGCACTTAAATGACGATCGTAGTCAATACATTCATATTTGTCCGGTGAATTCTCATCCGAACTTGACACTTTTATAAGACTTTGATTTTTTGGACAACATTTCCGAAAAACTTTTGAGTTATGAACACCAACAATTAAACATGTATACAATTTTATTATAACCCATGCCTCACAGAGTTTAAAATTTTGATAAAAATTTGATATTTAAAGCTTTGTTTACTGATTGCCGTCAAAACAGGTAGTGGACGATCACAAAATATGAATTATAAATAACTAACCGATAGAATGAACCAAAACTGGCTTTCGTGACCTTGAGGCAAAAATAGAATTTGTAGTGTTAACAAGAGCTTTGCCCGTAGATGAAAGAATTTTTTAAACTGGTTCAGTAATTTTGGAGCTATCCAGAGCAAAACATAACAAACATACAAACAAACAATGAAATCTTTCCCCTATAAGATATTGATACGAGTACAAACTATCGACAGCTGTCTCATCCTTTGTATTGTGTTTGTGTTTTCATAGAAGTATTTTTAAATTTATCACTTTATTATAAAATATATAGCCCACGCGAAAATGTTGATAACACAAATTCTGATTTACTCCCACGTGGTCTGAGAGTACTATGTGCACACTGACCTCTAATACTGGTATTAGGCTAATCTTAATTAAAAATCTGCCAGGAAGCATCTATCTTTATATCAACATCTGTGGCTTATCAACGTCCCGACTTCTTGGCATAGATCTGTCCAAAAGATGGAACTAATAATGGAAAATCTAACGGTGTTATTATATTATAACGCGTATGTTTTCATAGAATAGTCCAGTTGCTCTTCTTTCCATTATAAGGGCGCAGTAGAATCGACACGCTTTGTAATAAAAACAAATAAATGTTTTATTTGAAATAATAGTCCTTTTATTGAAGACTTATTTTACGCCTGATCCTCATATCAACTTGATGCTTGCTTGCTTTCTTAAATCGATAACAATGGTAATTCTAATAATTATGATTTATTTTGAAATAACGAATGCCTCCAGTTTGGCTGCTGATACAATCGGGTCATGGTGGGCTCCATTTGTTGGTCGACTGTCGGCTCATATATTATTAATATGGCGGTTGTCAGTTAGACTGGCTTACCATTATGCCATTACGATAGGGTTGCCATTCATCCCGATACGTCGGGACATGTCACCGTTATTAACAGTGGTATCCCGACGTCCCGACAAGCTATAAAATATCCCGACAAACATAATCGAGTGCGCCGCACAGGACGCGCAGGCCCCGCAAACTGCACGCAGCCTTGCAGTACACGACTGGACTGTCCGTCCGGATCGAAAATTTTGTTTTTTTACTTTATTTAGCATTCACAATGCTATTTTTCAAAAGGAATGATGTTAATTAATTGTTATGTTATCCTCCATAATTAATAAATGAATATAAATAATTCCAAATGGTTTTGTTTTAAAGAACTCCCGCGCACTAACGAACGCAGCAAATACAAAAAAAAAGTAAATGTCTCGACGGGGCCTTGAGGAATTATGGCAACCCTACATTAGGGACCTTATTTCCACTCAGTATATCGGCTCCCTTGAAGCCCTGTAGCGATCTACGTTGGGTGGAGGACCAGTTGAGTTATTGTGTAGTTCCCCGGTTGCTGTGTATGTCATTTCGCTTTTGTACTATGTTTGTCCTTGGCCTCCATGCTGTCTACAACCCTACTGTGAACAATGAATGTGTGCCTGATCATACACCATACTGAATCATGCTAGTTACATTGGATGTAAATGTAACGTCTATAATTAATTTTATTATAAGTTAATGCTGAGTTGACTCCTCCGAACTCCTTACCATTTCTTTCTTTGGTTAAGGGACCGGGATGATGGGTCTCAAGCTGAGGACGTGATCGGGGCCTGAAAGCACCATCAACACAAATAATGTGTATATATTTTCACAACATTGGATTTAATTATATATTTTCTTTCTAACCTTAGTCCTAATACTTTATTCCTTCCATCCTTTCATTTGACCTTTATTAAATATTTCTTTCTATGTTACATACAACATTTCTATTATAATGTATTTAACCAGTGTTATTATGCTCAAGTATCAATACTTTTTCTTACTAAAATCCTATAGTTCTATAAGTATAGAATATGAAGTCACAAGGTACTTAGTAACTTACTAGTTTTAGATTAATCGTATTTATTTAATGGGTAGGTAATTCTTTTACATGCTCTCAATAACATATTCTCTTACTGCTAACAATCGCCTACAAAAAAGAACCAGGGCTACTACACATAACACAACGTGGGTCCTATTAGACGATCACTGCCATTACAAATATCCTTATTAGAATGTCTTATCAGACCACACATATTATTTAAAAAAATATTTTATAAGGGAGGAGGGGGAACCGGTACACTGGGATAGACAGGCCGATGAATTTCAGTACTCAGTTGAAATCACACCGATGCAAGAACCTGTAACAAAAAGAGAAATCAGTGAAAACGGTGGGCGGTAAAATTTTGTGATTAAAGAAATAAGTTTTAAGACAAGACAAGTAGTAGAGGACCACGAAAAATATGTAAGATAGCTAATTTTATTTTGGATATCCTTTTGTTTGGAAGGACAAATTTTATTTTTTGCTTGGTGGGCGGTATGTTAAGCTTCATTGGTTGGTTACCTGTTACCTATTACCTATAGGTTCTCTATGACTAAAATATCTATAATGAAAAATAAATTAAGATTTGATGTTGTCAAAAATATTATTAAAAATAATATACAAACACTTGTTTAAATTAATGATTTTATTTAACCCTTTTTGTCATGTAAATGTATGTGATGTAATTTAAATTTAAATTTTATAAAATCGAATTATTAGGTTTTCACAAAACAAAATACGCTTTTCATCAGGCATCTCCTAAATTATTTAGAAAACATATTATCTAAATACAATATTTCAGCAAAAACATCTAAAAAATTAAAAAAGGAGGATTATTCAAGGTGTATGTTTATTGTTTTCTTCTTGAATGGTGACCCAATTTCTATGAAACTAGCTCTTTCCCCGCGACTTCGCCTATGTAAATAATAGCCTGTCCTCCGCGTATTATGTAGCTTCCCGTAGATGAAAGACTTTTATAAATCGGATCAATAGTTTCGGACCAATTCCAATGCAAATAAACAAAATCTCCTTTTCTAAGACTTTCTCATTTTTTTATAGTTTACGTTATTTAAAAGATATTTAATATTTTTAGTGTTAACTATTATATAAAACGATAAATATATCTAAAAAGTATGAAATAAAAACTTTTTTCAAAAAAAATTGAACCTTATTCATAATACAAAAGGCTTAAAAAATCCACTTGGTCCCTGGCACCCTGAGATGGGAATCGAACCTACGACCTTTCGCAATCCGGGCGACTGCTCTAACAAGTGAGCTTCCCAGAACCTAACAAGACTGACGAATCTTTCAAGCACTTGTTACTTCTAGCTACTCCAGAACGTATTCTCATCAATGTTCAGGCATATACCCAAACAGCCGAAAGAATGCAAATGCAAAATTAATAAAAATAGAACCTGTTTCAAATTTCAAAAAGTATTAGAAAGGGGAGCGTGGATTGGTTCTAACAGGGGTAAGTAGTAAAAAGCATTTACGACCTACAAAAGAAGAATATTCATTTGATTTTCAATCCAGCCTAGTATTTAATACTCAATGTCTCATATGAGCTTGGTCATTAGCCCGCCTTATAGTACATGAAGCGGTGTTGTCTAGGCATTCCGATAAAGTCAGGCAACGCACATTTTTAGGTTTATGTATACGTAATTGATTAGCATAGACTTCAAATTGTTTAGCAGTTGTTGATTTATACAAATATATTTAGCTTAAGATTGATCATAATTATTTGTTATTTTACATCAAGTAAGAGATTTGTTTATAAAGATATTTCAATAAACCTCGCTGTGGGGTATGTTGTAACACTTTTAAGGGGCTTGTTGTAACTTGTTTACGTAAGACTGATTTCATATTTTATCTACGTCAATCAAAAGATTTGATTACTTAAGAAATTGAGATTTTGTTATCATAAATAGCTGTAATCCTAAAGTTCCTTTTAAATTTAAGCAAAAATAAATATAATTGTTATTTTTTAATATTCTTCTCTTAGATTAAGAATAAACCTAAAAAGATTAAGTTCATTATAACGCACCTAAGGTTTATAATACTAAATACGCTTAAATAGTTAAAACTATAAATAGTTGTACGCCTAAAATACCTTAATAGATTAAGTAAACGAAGAACACGTTATTTGTATTTTTTTATATTATTCTTTTAGATTAAACATGAAAATTAATAATTTACATCTGTGTGGACGTGTCTGAAGTTTTTGTCTATCATCAGTATCACAATTTGTCCCTAGCCCGTTACAACTAGCTCCAATCATGGGGTAAATTGTAACATTCGACAGCTTTTCTTCAAATCCATTTTTACAAAAAATCTTTGAAAAAGGTTTTATTAATAATCTATAGTTGAATAGTCGTTAATTAGTATAAAAATGCTAGATTTGCGTTGCTATGGTAATATTTTGAGTCCCCTTAAAAACTTTCACTCCCATTTTCATCCCTTTAAGTTCTAGTTCTTTGGGATAAAATAAAACCTATTACCTTCCATAGGTCTTAAACTACCCAAATATAAATTTTCATCGATTTAGGTCCAAAAACAAAGAAGTTTCATACAAAAGTTTTCATCCTTTTTAACCCCCTTAGGGGTGGAATTTACAAAAAATCATTCTTGATAAACCTCTACATAATAAAACGAACTCACCCTCCAAATTTCAAGCCTTTACGACCAGCGGTTTATGCTGTGCGTTGTCTGTTAATCAGAATGTCAGGACTTATATATGTATAGATAAATGATACTAAAATGTCTGCTAATGGAACACAAGATAACTACATATCTACCGTGTTAAGCTATAATAAAAGTAAGAGATTGATTCCTAGAGTCTAAAACCTTAATGTCGCTTATCTTATAGAATTGATACAAACTTTGTTAAATATATAATACTAGTTAATTTTCCGCGACTTTCAAGGTGAAGCCTCACGTAGGTGAATGAATTTTCATTATCGGATCAGTATTTTCGAAGATTTCCTAGAGATCCCTAGAAACAAACAAAGTTACATACTTAACTTCAACATTTAACTCATTCTGAGGACAGAAGACCCGCCGGACACTGCCCCCTTTTTAGCTATTTGGAACTTCAAA